CATGCATAATATTAGCGTTACAATCCATCTTCGGATTTGTGGCTAAGTAACGCCAGTGAAATCAATAGAAAATGCCGGCTTTCATTTGACAAAGATTTTGTCTCAAACTTTAAAACTGTTTCCATGAAGAGCCTCTATACACTACTGGAATCACTTTTGTGATAAACCACCAGGATCCTCTCTTAGTACTTCGAATGTACTTATTTTATGAAAATTGCAGACCATAAAGGAACATCTGGCACTGTTATTAGATTGCATATGCACAATGTATTTAGAAAAACATATGATAGGGGTATAAAAAAATTATTGATTGTACTAGGTCTCCATTTCCACATTAACACTATATAAACTCTCTTGTATATAGATGTCTATAAATACCGGCTACAGTTATGCTCAAAAACATGTTCGGAACATGCTTTACAATTTTTCCTATAAACATAAATGTATTTGAGGCTGAGGTAGTTATTGCTGTGTGAGTAATGATGAAGAAGAAACAGATGTCTACTTTTTTTTTTATGGCAAACATGTAAAAAATCTGTGGGCTACATGTTGGCTAGCCTTGCTTACGTATACAAGTAGGAGGTGGCAGCACTAAGGGGGCAGCCACTATCAGCCCCTGAACTGATGGTGTTAGGAACCCAAAAAAGGACAGTGACCCTACCCTATTCGTCTGTCAGTCAGCAAGAAGTGCTAATTCAATGAGAGGGTATCATAGCTCCCAGTCTGGCATGCCCCTTTCAGTCCTTCCTGGAAGTGTTCGGATTGTGTCAATAAGACACATTCGCCAAAGTATTTATTTATTACCCAGAACAAAATTTTGCTGAGGGAGGGATTTTCAAAACTGCTTAGTATTGGCCTAATTTTACTTCCATTGGCTTCAATGAGATAACAGCTGGCCAATGCTGAGTGTTTTTTAAAATCTCCATCATAATATATATTCTCTTAAAAACTATGGTATTCCAACAATAGAACTGTAAATCATAAATAAAGTGCTGCCAGAAATACATGGTCAGAAAACTGCAACTTGAAAAATTTACTGTAAAATATTTCATCTGTACCTCAAAAAACAGGACTACTTTGGGGCTTTCTTCAGCATCTTGAAGGAAATAACTAAAACGTTCATTAAATATGATTTGTTCCTCCCATTCTGGAAGTGTTGATTTAAATTGTCGGAAATCGTAAGGCTGGGTCATAATAGGAAGAATGTGCTCCACTCGCTCTTGTTCATAAAAAGATGAAACCGCCCGGCTGCTGTTTAAAAACAACCAAATGCAATTGTCAATATTTTTCAAAAAAGTAAGCAAAGAACAAAATACTACGACTACTTCAACTACTGTAAACAAAAAAAGTACAAGACGGCCATTCTCTTTATTTTAGAAAGAATATTCAATAACCACTGGAGATCTTAATGCAACTGATGATGTAAGGGCAATAAGCAGAGCTGGAGTTCCAAATCCCAATAATCAAGCATTTTGATTGGGCCTGATCCATAGTCCATTGAAGCCAATACAAGTCCCATTGACTTCAATGGGCTTTGGATCAGGCCCCTCATGAATTACTAGCAGAGCTGGGACTAGGTAAGCGAAACTGTAAGAAGAATGGAGAACTCAACTTCATTTCAATATTCTTATGGATGTTTTGCCAATAAGCAAAAAGAAATCTCTTATTCATGCCTCAATATGTTTGTTTGCTTATTCTCAACAAGGCTTCTAATGATTCTGCCATATCTCTCTTTGTTTTGGGAGAAGAGTCAATCAGCCACATTGCAAATATGTGTCTGATCAGCTACACTGCTACTCTGATAATACATGTGCTCCAAATGTGAAAGAAAACAATGGCCCCATTCCTGCAAACACTTACACATGTACTTTATTTAAGTATGCAAGTTGTGTGGGGATTTGCAGTCAATAAGACTACACTCATGCTTAAAGTTAAACATGTATGTATATGCTTATTTAAGTAATTATTTCCCGCAGAAGCAAGCAGGTGAAGGGTTTTGGGGTGTTTTGGGGAGGGGGCTGGGGGAAACAAATCAGTAAACTCACCTATGCTCTTTCTTGACATACAAACCAGTTTTCTGATCAATCACATGAATCTTGACCATGGGATGCGAAACCATGAGATCAGTTTTAAGTCTATCAGTTCGATGGATGTAAACCCCTAACACAAGGCTGTCATCAAAAGCAAGTTTGGATTGAGTACAAACTTCTGGACTGTTCGTTTCCTGTACATTTTCTGCAGCAATTTCTGTATTTTCTTCTAATGCTAGAAGCAAAGAAACAAACAAACAAAAAGATCTTCAAGCAGAGATTAGTGACAAATTATAAGGATTAAAAATCTATCACATTTTCACAGCAAACTTTATATTAAGCTAATTATATTTAGTTCTGTTCTTTATGCAATAGAGTATTAAAATAAAGTCAGTGGATTTACAGCATTATACATATGTTTGTTTATATGCATATATATTTTAATACAAGCATTCTCTACCAGTGTTTATTACCAAATAAAAATTACTGAACCACAACTCTTGTTCTTGATTTGCATAGGCTCTTCCCTCAGACTTCAATATACAAGTAGTTATCCACAGTAATAAACTACAGTATGTACGCCCGTTGTCTTTTACGATTTCAATAGCTAAACAATATGCTGTTGAATGATTATATAATGTGATTAAAAATACCTTACTATCCAAATTGCAAGAACAGCACAAGATCATTTAGCACAATTAGCTGAATCCCCTAGACTATAATAGACACTTATGGCTTTTAATTTGGTGCACCCATCTAATTCTCCATGAATTCAACCCAAAACTAGGAAACAGAAAATATGCCATATGCCTCCTTAGCTATTTTATAGTATTATAATGGCACAGGAGCAGCACTACAGTTAAGGCTGCATCACATCATTTGTTTAAAGGTTGACCTTTCTAAGTCAGGGTGGGCAAACTTTTTGGCCTGAGGGCCACATCAGGGTTGCAAAACTGTATGGAGGGCCTGGTAAGGAAGGCTGTCCCTCCTCAAACAGCCTGGCCCCCGCCCCCTCCCAGTTCCCACCCCCTGACTACCCGCCCTCAGAACTCCCGACCCATCCAACCCCCCCTGCTCCTTGTTCCCTGACTGCCTCCTCCCGGGACACCCATCCCTAACCGCCCCCCAGGACCCCACCCCCAGTCAACCCCCAATGCTCTCTGTCCCCTGACTGCCCCGACCCCTATCCACACCCCCGCCCTCCGACAGGCCCCCCAGGACTCCCACACTTATCCAACCCCCCCTGTTCCCCATCCCCTGACCACCTGATCAGAACCTCCACCCCATCCAACCGCCCCCTGCTCCCTGTCCCCTGACTGCCCCCCACTACCCCCTGCCCCTTATCCAGCACCCCCACTCCCCTTACGATGCCACTCAGAGCAGCAGAAGCTCGCAGCCCCACCCCCCGGCCGGAGCCAGCCACACTGCCCACACGGCGGCATCACTACAGGGGGACAGGACAGCAGGGGAGGGGGCGGGGGCTAGCCTCCCCGGACGGGAGCTCAGGGGCTGGGCAGGATGGTCCCGCGGGCCGGATGTGGCCCGCGGACTGTAGTTTGCCCACCTCTGTTCTAAGTCCTCTAGAGCAGCGGTTCCCAAACTGTGGGTCAGGATCCCAAAGTGGGTCTCAATCCTGTTTTAATGGGGTCACGAGGACTGGCTTAGACTTGCTGGGGTCTGGGGCCAAATTTGGAGCCCAAGGGCTTCAGCCATGGGTGACAGAGCTCAGGTTACAGGTCCCCTGCCTGGGGCTGAAACCCTTGGGCTTTGGCCACCCTGCCCAGGGCAGTAGGGGTTGGCACCCCCTACCACAGGGCAGCAGGGCTGGGGGGGGGGGGAAGGGGGGAGGCGTGCAGGCTTCAGTTCCCTCCTCCTGGGGCCATGTAGTTAATTTTTGTTGTCAGGAGCGGGTCACGGTGCAATTAAGTTTGAGAAACCCTGCTCTAGAGTGAACATGCTTAGTCAGATTTCTTTGA